ATTGGGGAACTGAGATCCCACATGCCACAGGGCAACTAAGCCCGCACACCAACTACTGAGCTCGCGTGCCTCAACGAGAGAGCCCACATGTCGCCACTAAGACCCGACGCAGCCAAAAAAACAAAATTTAAAAAATAAATATTAAAAAAAGAATGAGAGGGCTTCCCTGGTGGCGCAGTGGTTGGGAGTCCGCCTGCCGATGCAGGGGACACGGGTTCGTGCCCCGGTCTGGGAAGATCCCACATGCCGCGGAGGAGCTGGGCCCGTGAGCCATGGCCACCGAGCCTGCGCGTCCAGAGCCTGTGCTCCGCAACGGGAGAGGCCACAACAGTGAGAGGCCCGCGTACCGCAAAAAAAAAAAAAAAAAAAAAAAAAAAAAGAAAAAAAAAAAAAAAAAAAAAAAAAAAAAGAAAAAAAAAAAAAAAAAAAAAAAAAAAAAAAAAAAAAAAAAAAAAGAATGAGAAATCACAACAAAATAAAAATTAAAAAAATAAAGTTTATACATTTAAAGTGACATAATCTAACAATAGATACAGCAAACATTATATTTAATGATAAAACATTAGAAGCATTCCTTTAAAAAACAGTGGGCATCATTAGTTGTCCCTATCATATCTTCTAATCAACATTATATTATGGTTTTAATTAGAGCAATAAGAAAAGGAGATAAAAGGTAAGAATTGAAAAGGAAGAAACTGCCACAATTTACAGACTATATGATTACTTATGTAGAAAATACAAGATAACCAACAGATAAGCTAAAAAAAATTCAAGAAGAATGCTGGATAAACGTTAGATAAAAATAAATGTGCCTGTACATTAGCTACCTATAATTAGATAATACAGTTAAAAAATACTATTTACAATAGCAACTAATCTGTAAGATACTAAGGAATAAATCAACAAATGACGTAGGCCTTTAGGAGAAAAAATATATAATTGTATTTAAAGATATAAAAGATCAAAATAAACGGAGAAATATATCATGTTCAAGGATGAGAAGTTGGCAACTGTGCCCGAGTTGATCGATAAATGTGTGATCTATAATTTTAATGCAATTTCATTAAAAGCTGTTCTCAGGCGATTTTAAAATCATATGGAAGAACAGGAGGTCAAAAAGAGCCAAGACAATTCTGAAGAACAAGGTGAGGTAAAAGACTTTAAGAGACACCTCAGCAAAGAAGATATAAAGATGGCAAATAAGCATGTGAAAAGATGTTCCACATTATATGTCGTCAGGAAAATGCAAATTAAAAAAACAATGAGATACCACTACACACATATTAGGCTGGCTAAGATCCAGAGTTCTGACAATACCAAATGCTGGTGAGGATATGCAGCAACAGGAACTCTAATTTTGCTGGTGGGAATGCAAAATGGCACAACCACTTTTGGAAGATAGTTTGACGGTTTCCTACAAAACTAAGCATACTCTTACCGTATGATTCAGCAATCGTACTCCTTGGTATTTACCCAAAGGAGTTGAAAACTTATGTCCACACAGAAACCTGCACACGGATATTTACTGCAGCTTTGTTCATAACTGCAAAAACTTGTAAGCAACCAAGATGTCCTTTACCAGGTGAGTGGGTAAATAGACCATGGTACATCCAGATGACAGAATATTACTCAGCAATTAAAAAAAAAAGAGCTATCAAGCCATGAAAAGATACGAAGGAACCTTAAATGCATAGTAAAAATACTGTGTGATACCATAATGATGGATAAATGTCCCTACACATTTGTCCAAATCTACAGAACGTACAACACCAGAGTGAACCTTAATGTAAACTACCGACTTTGGGTGATAATGATGTGTCAATGTAGGTTCACCCTACCCTAGAGAAATTCTTACACAAGTGCACTAAAGAGACATGTTTAAGCACTGTTTGTAACAGGAGAAAAAGTAACAAAACAACACTGTCCCTCAGCAGGGAGCAAACTGTGCTTTAATTATATAATGGAACTCATAAACAGTTAAAATGAATGAATAAGATCTTCATGTATTCAAAGAATACTTCTCAAAAAACATGTTGAGTCTAAAAAAAAAAAAGGCAGGTTGCACAAGGATAGGTACCGTATATTTTTTAAAAAAATAATTGACATTAGTTTTCAAATACTTTACTGAAAAAACTCTAACTTTCAGTCTGACTTCCCACACAGGTACAGTTTTCCTTCATCCATCTGCACCCATCCTTTAAAGATCAAGTTAAATACCCCAATCTGAAGAGATTATTCCTTCTCTGCCCTCCCTAAGCACTTCGTTTGTATCACCTATGTGACAGGTATTATAGGTGTAAAAGACCGTACAGCTGCTTAGAATGTGCCTCTTTTTGCATGTCTCACATCTACACTATGAGTTCCTTACACCACTGTCTTACACCATTTTGTATTCAATTTAACAAATACAGGCACTGCGTTGGTTGAAGGGATAAAAAGTTTAATAAGGCAGTTCCTGCCGCAAGGAGGTTATGAGCTTATGATGCAGTAGAGGGAAATGGACATGTAATTAACAACGATAATAGTTATAAAAGCATCATAAACAGACTATGGATAACAAAAGAGGGATTGTATCCCACACAACCCCTTGCAAACAGCAGGCATTCACTATATTTATTACTGTAACTTATTGGTAGAGGCCAAGGCAACAGGGTGCTTGCTGTAGGAGAGAGCACACAGGCTCTAGTAACAGGATGAGACGGAAGTAGCTTTTGTTTCCCCTAAGCAACGCGACTGGATGCGAAAGTCGAAGAAATAGGGAGCAAGGTCGTAAGGGTCGCTGGGGTTGAGGTGGTGGGCCCGGGGTAGGTTTGGAATATGCTGGGGAAAGAGGTAAGATCCGACTGGAAAGCCGCTTAGCACAGTACCTTTCTCATTGCGAACCGGGACGGCCCCAGCCGTAGACTGAATGGGCGGCTGTTTCATGAGTGAGCTTGGGACCGACATGTTGACGGCAGCGGCAGTGACTCCCCAAACTTGACTGATTCCAAACTGAACAGAACAGAATAACGTCAACGAACAGTAAAAACCTCTTCCACTAAGGCCACTGTACACTGCTGCGCCACTGATAGAGACACCACTTGCGGCTGAGCTAGAAAAACCGGAAATATGCGACCAGAGGATTGTGGGATTGTGGAGGACGTCTGGGCGCCTACGGCTAGAACGCCGAGTCTGTTACTGCGCATGTTCATAGGCTGCCCTGGCCTCCTCAGTCTCGCAGTATTTGGACGCCCTTCCTGGCGGGAAGTTTCTTCCGCTGGGTTTTGCTGTTGAGACCCTGCGGCGAGGAAAAGCTGAATGAAAGGTTTCGCTCGTTAGGGTTGGTTTGAAGCCAAGGAAAATCGGGTAGTGAGGGATAAGAAACTGAGGAGATAGTGAAGGGCGGTTTGTCCAGATTGTTGAAAGCTCAGAGTTTAATCGGAATAGAAATCCTGTTAATAGCACCTGATTAGCTCAGTTGATGAGGCTGAGCGGGTTGTGGTGAGGTATTTTTTGGTCACGTGAGGGCAAGTGGCAAGAAACAAAAAATCCCCCACGCGGCTTAGAACAGTGCCTGAAATCCGAACACTCTTAGGCTTTACAGTTCTTTCCGTTTCTGGAGACTGTCTATTAAAACATATTCCTGGCTGAAATGTTTGTGTATAAAAGTCCATAAGTAATTATTAAGCACCGCGCTTAGCTTTCTCTAAGGAGTATGGAATATTGTTGAAAGGCTTGTTTCCTCCAGGAACTTGAATTTCATTTAGTAAGTCTTCAAGGGCTTATAGAAGAGTAACTGAAATAATCCCAATTTACTAGTTGGATTGTGTTAAAAAACAGGCTAATTGGTAGTCAGAACACAGTCACTGTAGAAAGGATTTTATAACTGCTGTGGTGGGGAGAGAAGGGACAGCCTGAGCAAAGTCTTGAAGTCCAGAAATAACATGGTATATATCAGACACTATGAAAAGTTTGATTTTATCAGTAATTTTTGAGTCAAGGAGTGTGCAAGTTCCTGAAGGGCTTTAAAGGTGCTGTTAATAGGATTAGTTCTCAAATTATTTCACCTGTATCCTAAAATTGGGCCTCAGCTGGCAGAAGAAATAAAATTGGGCAAGTCTCGATCAAGGAACAGTGGATAACTCAAGTAACCAACCAAGGGAGCAGTTTTGAGCTATAAAGAAAAGGACTGTAAAAGAGTAGATAGAAATTTGTTATAAATTCATCAGCTCCAAAACTATGCTATCCAGAGGGAGTAAATCTGTTGGGAAGGCAATTGTTTCTGCTCGCGGCAACCCAGAAAACAGGAAAAAAAAAAATTTAATATGGCAGTGACTATAAGAAATATAGTGCCCTGAAATCTTATTTATGATGCTTTGTGATACAAAAGTTATTTAAAACATTTCCCCAGTCTTTGGGCTTTGTAAGGTCATCACTAAATCTTAGTTAACTGGTGGGCGAAGTTTAAACCAGCTTAAGTTATCAGCTCTTGAAAAAAAAAAATCAAAATGCTTCTATTCCTAGGAAGAAAATACGGTGGCCATTGGGCATAATTTTCTCGTGGTGGGATTACAAGGAACTAGGGGCTGAGGTAAAGGCTGCATATATATTGATTTCATTTCCTCTCTATTTCATATGGTATTTAAGTGCTCCTGAACCTTTTCCAGGCTCACGTTGCTAGGCAAGGTGGTTTTTCCTTAGGAGAGGCGCAGGTGTTTTCCAAAGTGAGATACTGGCATCAGCAGTATCAAAATCACCGGAATCCAAGGTAAAAATGTCGATTCGTTCCCTTCTATTCCCTGAGGAATTTGAGTTTGAGGTGAGGCTGGCAACCTTGCCTCTTTAAGAGACTAATGTAACGCCCCGTGCCCTCTCCCCCTCCCACCGGCTGGGATGGAAACCATCCTGCGCCGCCCTGGCCTCCCCCGCCCCGGACCGCTCCCCGCCCCTCCCACTTCCACCCATCCCCGCCTCCCGCCGCAATCTTGGCGGGAAGACGCCAGCTGCTAAGCGGAGGGAGGATGTCTGGGTCGCGCGCGGAGGCCGAGGAGAAGGTGGGCTCCAGACAGCGACTCCAGGTGAATGGGAGAAAAGGCTTGTCCCTTTCGGGTGTGTTCCTGCCTCAGTCTTCGTGAGGGGTGTGCCGGGCATAGGCCGAGGAGGATGGGAGGACTTGCCACCCGGCACCTCCTGACTCTAAAACTTTCCTGCTCCTTGGGGCATCTCTCACTTTAACGGGTTTTTGGGGGTGTTGCTTTAAAAGATAAGCGGGGATGCCTGTCCTGGTTTTCCTCTGGAAAGTAGACCTTCAGCATTGAGGAAGATGCTTATCAATAACCCCCAAAATAGTGTCTGGCTGGGATCCGGAAGCCTGCATTTGCTTTTGCAGTCGTTATGGTCAGTTTCCCACTCTTGAAACAATTCCAGTTACTCAGTCTCCTCAGTTACAAATTGTCGTCATTTGTTTTTTTTTTTGCTGTACGCGGGCCTCTCACTGTTGTGGCCTCTCCCGCTGCGGAGCACAGGCTCCGGACGCGCAGGCTCAGCGGCCATGGCGCACGGGCCCCGCCGCTCCGCGGCGTGTGGGGTCCTCCCGGACCGGGGCACGAACCCGTATCCCCTGCATCGGCAGGCGGACTCCCAACCACTGCGCCGCCAGGGAAGCCCCTGTCGTCATTTTTATTATTGGTCTGGCTGACTCATGGGTAAGAAATGTGTCCAGTATAATAAATAATTCTATTCAGGTTAATGAATTAGGTATCTAGATTTTGGAGGGAAAAAGGTTTCCTTACAGGCTATCAGTTTGGCTTTATGTTGTCATTAAGAAATAGGAATTAGATTTATTTACGCAGATCTGTAAGAAAAGTCTTAAAACCTGGAATTTTAATACTCTCTGTTTTCCTTTATTGACCTGAATAGGTGAATGAATATAAGGAAAACCAAAACATCGCTTATGTGTCTCTGAGACCGGTACAGACTACAGTTTTAGGAAAAACAGCTAAGGTGTATCTTGTTCCCTTTTCACTCAGTAGCTACAAGCCAGATCAATTTAAGCGCCCCAAATCCCTATTAGATAAGAATTCTAACAATGAGGTGGCATGTAAGAAATGTAAGAAGGCTGAAATAAAGAAAACTTGCAGAAGGATTTTAACTCCAAAGATGGAAGCCACATCTTCCAAGGCAGAATCCACTCTGCAAAAATCATCCTTAGATGTTCATGCTGAAAGTAACAAGTGGCAATACAAGAGCACTTCAGATACAGTGATTCTCAGTGCTGATACAGAAAGCAGCCAGGATGGAGACAGTGATGAAGGTACCACACCAGGCATGGTAAGAATTTAATTACTAGCTTATTCAAATTTTTCGTATTTAAAAATATGTTTTTAAGTTCTGATAAGCTAAGGTTATCAAGGGTCTCATTAGCTCAAACAGATTATTTTATCATCTAATTTACGTTTAACTGAAATTTTATTCTTTAAATGTATAACATAACTTCCTTGGGTTAATTTTACTCTTGGTTTCGATTTGTGAAGGAGGGGATTGACTTAATCTTCACTCTGCTTCCCTTTTTCTTCCTGTCAGCTTATTGCATTTATTTTTGAGCTTACTTCTACTTTATGGTGTTATGCTCACCTTTACATATTTATGCACAGTATACCAGAAGAAGTTGAGTTGTGGGACATATAGCATTTGAATGACTCCATGTCAGGGTAGGAAAATCACCATTAATTGATTGCATTCATGTGCTGAATATTTCCTTTAATTATGTAAAGGAGACAAGTGATGGAGTAGAGAAGATACGTGAGAAACACTAATTCTATTTAAAATAATAGTTCCATCAGTTTAAGAAATTAAGCATCTAATTCTTTTGGCTTCTATTGCCTACTGGGAGTGTTGTACTTCATTTAAAGTGACAAATTTTATGCAAGACAAGATAAAACCCTACCACATGATGAAAAGTTGATGGAACTAGAACAGAAAATGATGGTAGGGAAA